TATTTCTAAAAATGGTTTTAAAATTTTTTTATTGACTTACAAAATAAATAATTGCAGCACATCTAAGTATTTAAAAATTTTGAGTGCCTGTGATGTTTTAGCAATAATGGTATTGATTTCTAATTGAAGCAAAAACCAAACAACAAAAAAATTACGTTTATAATTTTTTTGTTAATATATGTACGGTTTTTCTTCTTCTTTATATTATTAGATATTTTTTTCAGTGCTTTAATCTCTGCAGACTCTTATTAAAGCACCTTTGCGTTGGCAGCTGCCGGGGAAGGCGACATCTCTGTTGCAATTGTCGGTCATTAGCACGCTGATCCCCCGACTTGTAACTTGACCTCCCCCCCTCTAAGTACACATACATATATGTAGCCCCCCCCTGCCCACCCCACATTTTTTATAGGGGGCGAAGTTCAGACTTTCTTCGGGGCCCCCTTTACTTTTTTTTTTTTCTTTGCGTTGGTAAATCGTCTGCTTTTTTTATTAGTTTAGTTTGGTCTTTTGTTTTTCCATTTGTTGTTTCCTAGAGGGTAACCTGGGGGATCTGTTTAGCTGGGAGATACATTATTTTGGGGCTGTCTTGTTAATTGAGTGATGTGCGGCAAACAGCTGACTTGCGATAGTAATAATGATGATTAAATTTACCGTACGTTGCCAACAAAAGCGGCAGTCACAGAAAAAGTACAGGAAAGAAAAAATAAAGTGTCGCAGCCGCAAAAGTCATTGAACCTGACCGAAATTATTGAAATATTGAAAGAGCCAAAGAGCCAAAAGGGTTGTGGGCACAGAGGGGTTAAGGGGGTTAAAGGGGCCCCCAAGAAGTACACACAAAATGTCTTTTATCACTTTCTTGCCATGCTTCTCTTACGAATTTTTGTTCGGCGGTTCGGTTTTTTCTTTGACACAAATCAACTGATTGCCAGCCAGCCAAGCAAAATACGAAAAACTAAAAACTAACGGAAAGAAAACGAGAAATATCAAATCGATACCCAATAAGTTAAGTGATCCCCTGAATTGAGTACCAAAAGTTGGATGCAAAGTAATTAAAATTTAGATGCAAAGTAATTAATTATAATGCTAAGCATTTGTTTTCAAAAATATTATTAGAAACAAAATATTATTATTCCACAAATACAAAAAATTAATATATTTATTAATTAGTTTTCCAGATTAATTAATAAATATATGAATATACATTTGCCCTTGAATACTATAATTTTGCGGCTATATTATATTTTTATTGTTCTGTTTAAATATAAGTAATTTAAAAAAGTACATTGTAGCTTTCTGCTGACATCATGAATTATAGGTAAAGTCACAGTCATAGTTACTTTTACTTGGGATTTTATAGAAATATATGTTTGATTTTAAGTGTTGGTTAAAAACTGGCTTAGACAAATCTTTTACTTTTTGTAAGTAATGATTTCGAGCACTTTCGAACATTACTCATTCTGTACCTGCCCACGCCCCTTTTAGAGAGCTATCTACAGGTAGAAAAGGCCCTGTATCTAAATATCTTAAGTGTTATATAGTTCGACAATACTTGACACCACTTTCTTTTCGCCGGCGCCGATTGATAAATTGGTCTGCACCAGGCGTCAGAAATGCGTGGGCTTCTGTGTTTTAGCATACATACTATATATAGTATATATACTATATTATATAGTTGCCATTTTCGCTTCTGCCGCCGCCTGTCAATCCACTGGCTGTTTTCCGTATGACATGTTTGACTAATTCCCCGGGGTCGAAGACCTCTCTCGATATGAGCCCCCAAAAATAATGGAAAAAGGGTGGAAATTGTCCACTCGCATAATTAGCCAAAAAAAAAAAACAAATAAAAATAAAAAATAATGCAGTAAATTCCACAAACGTTAAGTATTTCGCCAATTAAGTGGCAATCAAGCGAGTGTCGGGGGATATATGCCCAGATATACCATTACATACAGTCGAGAATTCCCTTCGCGTGTTAAAATTAAAAACTCGTAAAATAGTCGTATCAAAAACAAACGTAAATTGCAGCATAACAAGCATTTTATGATTCATAAAAACCATTTTCGAGGAGGACAGGGGCAATTCCGGTGGGACGGGGGCTGAAATAGGGCTTCCATTTGGGTAATTATGCAATGCAGGGAGCACAGTGCGCGAAGTGAGTGTAGAACCATCATATGATTTGTTTTATAATTATACAACTGGGAAAAACAATTTTAAAATATTTTAAGACATTAAAAAATCACAAAAATAAAATAAATAATACCAAACATTTTATATATTATATCATTTTCTAAACAGAAATTATGAAAACTAATGAGTTTTTGTTGTTTTCTAAGATCTTTGAATTAAAAGATTGATTTTAATAGGCTTAAATAATTTTAAATATCAAAAGATTCCAAAACCTAATATATAGTTCTGGAACTATGCCTTTTTTAAGTTATCCTTTATGGCGCTATAAACTTGCCCCGCACTGTGGCGCCCGTAGACTCCTGCGATGTTGGTCCATTCATCGCATGCCCATCGTTTTAAGGACCCTTTTTCCAACAATGCGGGATTGTATAGCCACAAGGGGGGATTTCGGGAGTTCGGGGGTTAGTTTCTGACCAAAAAAAAAAATGCAACGATTGCCGAAAACCGAACTGCGAACACCGAAAACCCCTATGGCGAATCTCCCTAACTGACTAACTGACTGTATGAATGACTTTCTTTTGGATGTCTCTGCATGTTTGCCTTTTCATTTTCCCATTTCTTGTATGTGGTATATGTTTTGTTTTGTTTTTGCCTTGGCTTTCGGGTTAAACATTTCGTGACCTGCATTTTTGTTGTTGAAAATAAATTGGTCGACAGTTTCCTTTGGCATATGGCAAGCATGTGGCGCACGTACAAGCCACTTCACTCCTTTCAATTATGTGCGAAGGCAACACAGCAGCAACATCGGCAACACAACAGCAACAGCAACAGCAACACAACAGCAGCAACATCGGCACGGCAGCAACATCAACGAAAAAGGATGACCCCAGCCGCAGATCGAAAAATGCAATACTCTTGCCATTTTATTACCCAACACCATTTTCACTGTTTTTAATATTTTATGCTTGAGCTTCTCTAGTAAGCTTCTAAAGTAATGTAAAAATAAATTTTATATTTTTGTTTAGCCTATTTTTAATTTTTTAAAAGCATTAAAAATACGTATAGTAAAATGTTGAGTATATTTATACATTTTATAAAAGGATTCTTGTTCATTTATATTATGGCCAGCGTTTATTTAAGAAGTAAACGTATCTGATACCAATGTTATTATAATAAAGAAAAGATCACATTAAAAAATCAAAACTAATCTGTGTTATTTGGTTGACAAACAAAAGTGTACTTATTTTTATTTGGGACCAATCAATGCACTTCCTTTTAATATACATTATTATTCTTTATTTATTTGTTACTGACTCATTATCTTTTAAATTACAACTTTTTGGAAAAGTATACCCTTTCTTAAATTGTTGTATATATGTATACCCTCGACTCCTTTTTCATTAACTGTCTGCTCCACTTCTCAAAAGCCCCTCACTCTCCTTTAATTGCAAACCGCAAAATGCTTATGACACGATCGAGGGTTCCTTTATTTATTTTATGTTTTTCAGAGCATGCCTCTTCACGAGTGTCACTTGTTGGCTAAGTCGAAATCGTGATCCAAATCCAACACTTTTTTTAAATACCGAAGTGAAAAGCACAAAGAATGTAAAATATTTGAGTGGAAAACATAGACAAGTGGAGGAGATTATCCCGTGGATCTTTTAAATTTTTAAAATTGGATTTATTATATATTTAAAATGATACAAAATCGAAAATATATATATATATCATGTCAAAGCTAACACAAAATTAATCAAAATATTGGTTGATAAAAAATAAATCATGACTTTATATTTATATTTTCTGCCAAATTCAATTTAAACTTGATTAAAATTAATAATGAGTTTTTATTTATATTTTAACTTTAATTATATTATTTTCTGGTGATTCAAATTAAACATGATTAAAATTAAACATGAGTTTATATTTATATTTTCACATTAATTATATTATTTTCTGGCAAATTCAAGCCATATCATTTACTCTCTTAATTTCCTGTTGAAAGAATATTTACCACAGCCGATATCAGAGGTCTCCAAATGGAGTGGTTCCAACCCATTTAAAAACCTCTGATCCCAGCAAAAAAAAAGACAGAAACAGAGAGAGATCGGATGTACTGTCCATAGAAACAGCCCATTGAGTAAAGCTATTCGGTGTGATATCTCCACGCCCTCCGATAATAATTCCAGCCTACTGTGACGTCAGTGGACAGTGGCTCGACTGCCATACTTTCCCAAGATCCGGATTGAAGAACTCAAGCCGGGGTCTCCGCAGAGTTCGCGATTAATTTATGCCGTCTCGGCTTTGTCTCTCTGGCTTTCCAGCCTTTCAGCTCTTTGATTGATGATTAATCCAGAGTCAGACTTTGACTTTTGGCATTGACGGGCCCAAACAAGAAGCCTGAGAATATGAATAAAGCCTCTGTGTGGGCTGTTCTGTGGTATTTCTTATTATATTTGTAGTTCTGGGCCCTGGCCCCCACCAATCGCGTGTAATTGTACCCTAACTAATGGTCAGATATAGCAAATTGTTGGTCATCTAAGGTTTGTATTCATAAATAGTTCACTTTCCCAACCGCAAAATTACATATAATATGTATTACAAAGAATCCAAAAGGGTTGTAGTATAAGGTATTAGGTTAAAAGTTAAATATATGATATGATACATGATAGTAAAAATGATTTATTTTCAATTATATTTAATCATATTTTTTGTTAAGCATAATAATTTAGTTATATCAATGGAAAGAAATACAATAAGGTTTCAGTATAATATATTTTTCACTATTTAGGTAGTTTGAAATAAACATTTTTAAAATAAGCGAGAGTAACAATCAGATTTTTCATACAAAAAATATTTTTATATAAGGTTTTTTTTTAAATATTCTATAAGAGTATTATCAGTTCCCCAGCTTTTGCTTTTTAATTGTAGTTGCAAATATGAGCGGAAACGCCTGCTTTGAATGGATAACAAACTGCGACCGCAAATGCGACCCTTGCAGAAGTGCGGGAGGGGTTTTAAAGAGGGGTCTAAAGGGGTCTAATGGGGTCTTAGGGGTCCCAGGGCTCTCAGGGGGAGTATCGGAAATCGGGGTTACGCACAAGAACCCCTGTTTGTTTCGTTCCATTTTATTTCCCTTTTTTGCGTACTTTCAACTAAACATATCAAACATCCCGTGGGGCCCAAATGGAGCGTGATATTTGTGAGACCTCTTAGAGCTTATCGATAAGGTCTCCACCCGTGCCGCGATTAGAACCGCCAATTCCCTGGGGAGTTTCTGGAAAGTCCGAGAAAAATAAGAAATCATCAGCACTTCCGTTGGATTACTATTTCAACTTTCAAGTTCAAGATCGCTAATAATTCCAGGCATCCCAAGAGAATAACCGTCTTTATTAGTCGTTAGGCCTTCCTTTTCATTTCTATATCAACTTCTTAAAGTAATAAAAAGTTAAAATATTATTAAACAAAAAACGAGAAAATATTTTGAGCATGGTCCTGTTTACTGTAATCATATATTTACTACCTGTCAAAATTAATATTTGCCAAACCATAACTACTTCATTATAGTATTTGCAAGTGGTTTAGTATCATGTTTATTTGTTTTTAGGAAATACAAGATATCAAATATTTAAGTGTTATAAATTAAAACCATCAACTTTTAATTTAATTACAACCATTATTTAAATATGATTAAAGAATGTTTCAAAATTGGCACAGTTTCTTTCTGTGCTGTAATTATACTTTCTTTTGATAAAAAAAACGGCTGATAATATCGCTTGTCTAAATAAAACAATTCACTCTGAAAAAACCAATCAAGATCCATTCAATATTCAACTGGTCGATCGACTGGCCTTAGATCGTAAAATCGAATAATGTTTGAAAGACTCGTAAAACCAAACAAAGGCAACCTTCACGAAAACTAGAAACTATAAATGTAAAATGTATGCGAAGTATATTTCTTCTTTTTTTTTTGTTTTTTGCATACATTTTTGTTTATTTTGTTTGAGAGCAAACATAGGCTTTAAAAAAAAATCGTAAAAACGTAAAAAGAGCGAAGATCACTGGGATTGCCATGGAATTGCTTCATAATTAGTTGCTGTTAAACGATCGAAGATCTCGGCGATGACTGTCAAAAAAGAGCCAGAGATCAAAGCACACACACTCACGATTTTTTGGGGGGTGCGGGGGCAATGACAGCTGGAATTTTTTATGCTTTTAAGTAGTTTGTCATACGACAGTTGAGAACCCAGAAACATTTTCGACCGAAATAGATGGCGATTGCCCGCGATTCAATGAGTTTCTGACATATCACCGGGTAAAGTTGAGTTTTTTCCAAGTTCAAGTGAAGCGGTTGCTTGAGTTGGTTTTAAGTCCAATATCGTTTGGGGGAACGGGGTAATGAAAAGAAAATAGAACAGGGGATTTAAAGTATGTATTTAGGGAACTTTAACACAAAAGGTTTCTATTAATATTGTATTAAGATACATAGGTTATTCAATTTTAAATATCAATATTCCCTTCGATTCCAGATAAATACTTTTTTCAAACAAGATCCCTGAGAGGATTATCTGCACCGGAAAATATAATTAGGTAAAGTATTGCACTACAATCTCAGATATTTATGATTTCCCCAAAAAAACACCCAGCCAACCTTGGACGATCCGAAAAGTTTTGAAAAATGCATGTCAGCGTATCAGCTGCAGCGAAATCGAGTAAATATTTACAGAGTGCAGCCATGGAAAATCTGAAATTGAAAATTGGGTTACCTTAGGCCGTTCTACATCTATTTAGGTCTTGTTTGCGGATATAAACATTTTGTTTACAATTCGCATGACATTAACGGCCGAATTTATGAACCGAGGACAAGAATTCCTCTATAAGTAATTTCCCCAAATAAGTTTCTTTTATTTCTATTTCTTTTCTTTTTTGGTACAGAATACAGAAAAAGCCAACAGGTGAGAAGCGAAGTAGGTTCAATGCTCTGTGGCTACTAAATATTATTATTGGCAGTTCTACGAAACGGGGAATTAACTCATTCATTAAAATTTATACGCCGGCCACTAAAACAAGATATTGTATCTGGGCATCTCCATCTCAGGGCCCTGCGCTCATAAGCATAACGCTCATAACGAAACCTGTGCAGCCCCACAAAAAAAAAAAAAAAACATACAAAACGAAACGAAACCGAAATAAAAATAAAAATAAAATACAAAATAATAAAACAAGCAAAGGAGACAAAAAAATAAATAAAATAACGAACCCCGAGCCTCGTATTAATTGTCGGCTAAATTCTGTTTGAACACCTGATTTCGGATCAGAGAACAGGTACCCAAAAGAGCAGCCACAATGGACGCCAGATATAGAAAAGAAATAGATTCGGAAAAAAGGGGCCGCTAAAGGTCGCCTAATGAAACATTCTAATAGATGCAAAGACTCCGAGGGAGAGTCACCGACTTGGTTAGAATATTCGGCTACACTGGGGAATATTTTAAGACACATATTTGTTCTTAAGGTTGGCTAAGAAATTAATAATATAATTAAATTATCAAATCTAGCACTTCTAAATAAATAAAACAAATGTGTTGTAGTAAGAAAACTAATCATATGATATGATAAAAAATACATTTTTAAGGCTAATCACAAAAATTAAAAAAAATATTTCCTATATGGAATTATTTTTAACAATAGTAGTAAAATATTTCAGTAATTACAATTTAATTTAATTTTAACACGGTGGCCGCTACAATTTTTAATAGTAATTTTAATGTACATTTTTAAAAAATTAAAAATATTTGTAGTTTACATTTTAAAGATCAACTTTTATTTTCAGTGTTTTTTCACCTGTATAGGCCGACTTCTTGACAACAGGTACATAAAGCCTCCTTCCCCCGACCCCTGAGATCCAATCCCAATATCATTCTACGTCTTCGTCTCCGGTTTTTCGGTTCGTCATTTAAATAAAACTTAGATTAGTGTCGTTTAGCAATTTGGAATTTTCTCGGCATTTCTGGTATTCCTCTCTTCGCGAGGGGCTTTCTGTTCGTTTGGATTTTTTTTGTTGACTTTGCGCGTGCTAAACTGGACTGAATCGAAATTATTCAAATGCTTTTCCCATGAACTATCGGGCCATATGTGTTTGGCCACTGATTCACAGTCTTATCGCAAGTGAAACGTTCTGTTGAAAAGTAATTCGCATAGATATAAATAAATGGACATTGTAGTTTTATGTGCTGGATTTGTCTGTTCCCACACAACTTAAGTGAACTTTTCTGATCCTATAACATATATAAAACAAACCCTGAAAACCCTTTATCGAAAATATTTCTCCTTCAAAATAAAACGGATTTGATAAAATTTGGTATTTGCAACACTTTAACCATTACTTTTATCGGAAACATGTCCCAAACGAAATAAAACAGATCTTGAAAACAGCCAGTGTTATCCAACCAGAGAATTTTAGATGAGCTTGGCTCGATTTTACTTGAAGCACTATTTAAAAGTACGCCTTGACATTTGACAGGCACGGTCGTAAAATTAATCAAGAAATGCTAGCTTACTCTATAGTTATCTCCGTTCGCCTCGAACAGTTCAATGAATTCAATTCCACTCGAAACCAAAAAAAAAACTATATATATATACCACTATCTGTAGGGGTACTTTTAATTTTTTATGATTCTTATTACATTCTGAACGATAGTTTAAACCGAGGCGAGGTCATCGGAATCGAACGATTAGATTAGAGAGTGTGGCTGAACCCTTCCTCCGATTTCGATTCAAATCGATGGGGTAAACTTTGGAGGGGGCAGAGTGCCAAGCACGTAGTACTGAGTACTGGATCCAAAGGGGATAAGTAGCCAGTCACTCACGCACTCGAGGCCCCCAATCACATGGACGTCCGATCAAGTAGTCGCAGTAGCAGGTCCAACTTTCCTCACTAATTACCGCCAAGTGTGGTGGCAAACTATTTTTTTGTGGTCGGGGAAATTTCCAGATGCCCACGCAGAGCGAAAGAAAATTCTAGAAGATAAATTCCTTGGAGAGTGTCGCGTCAAATTTGAAAAATGGGATATCTTATGTCTCAGTAAAAAGCTGGTAAAAATGAAGATAAATAAGAAATGAGAATGAGAGAATGTCGAATTTTTTAAAAATTACCAACGTAGCTTTATTTAAATATAGCTTCCATAAAAAATGAAGTCCTATCTTTTTGGTTGTTAATAAAATCAAAGATTAAGGAGAAAGCTAACTTTTTAACTAAAATACGAAGTATCTGATAACTAGAAATAAATATGTATACATTTAATTAAGCTAAGACTAGAATTAATTTAGTTGCTAAAACAGTTCTTCATAACATATACATATCTTAAATTCTAAATTCTCCCAAAATCTGGAAAAAATGGTTAAAACTGTGAAAGTCAACTGAAAGTCGGTTGAATATTTCACCTAGATTATTTAGACTATTTTTTAACATATTCTTTCATGCATCTCTAGCAAACCAGAAACTAACACGTATTTCGTAAAGCGAAAGGGCTTAAAACCTAATTTATCATGACCATAGGCAAACTATCCAGGCAAACGAACAAAAAATACAAAAAATAAACCGAAAACCCGATTGGAATTGGTCTTTCGAGGGGGGGAGGGGGGCGGTGGGGGGCGTGTCCCATAGGCCTAGCAACCCGATACGCACCTGTTGAACTATACGTTATGTGCTACGTATATAGAACCCCGCTCCAGCGACTCTTGTTTTATGGCGGTGGGCTTTTGACTCTAAGACTCGCGTCGCCGTTGATATCGATATGCAATCTTAATAGCGCACACAAATCAATCATAAAAAATTAAAAACTAGTGAGGCGATCACCGAGGAAAGAGTTTTCCAGTTGTAAGGCGTAACATATCAGCCACCCCAATTCCTAAAAAAATAAACATACGTACAGCAAGGCACTTTAATATGAAAACCACAAATATATATTTTTTTATAGCCGACAGAATTATTTACGTGTGTTATTTATGTAATATTTTTATCAACATGTTTTCTTCTTTAAAGTTAAAGTAATTTATTTTAATAAGAGTTTCCAGTTGACTAATAAAAGTTCATTAAGTTTTCCGAAATAAACATATTTTATTTTCGGAAAACCCAAGTTCTTCATATCGATTATCTCAAAGGATTCCTGCATGAAGTTTTTCCAGTCTACTCCTCGTCGTTTCTCCCCCCATTGAAAGTAGTTCTCAATTTTTCCTGGTGTTTATATTTTTACGATTCGCTGACGCAGCCGTGGAGTT